AGATAAGGGTCGCATTTCGATAGCAATAAAAGTAGCAATTTCCCTGTCAATTTCTTTTGCCCTCTTAGAATCATGCGCTAACGGCTGTCTAAATGACTCCGGCAAAGTTTGTAGCATGCGTGTTCGTTGTTGTTTTTGTCTGCCTTCTCTTGCCTTGGCACTTAGGTGATGTCGGCGTAAATGTGCATTCATATTTGTTGTGTTCTCACCTATGTAATTAACCATTGCGTGGCACATCCGACATACTGTTGTAGTTTTGTCCACAACGCGCTTACCATCAGGGTCATACTTCACACGAAAGGCAAAAACGTTCCAAACGCCAGATTTCAATGACGGTGGAGTAAGAAGTAGTTCAACTTCGGGAGGCGTTGAGGCCGTTGCCATGTTGCAATGAGCTTAATTTCTGTCTCGCTAGCTTGATTGAATGCATGTGGGCGGCGCTCAGTGGCTCTGCACTCGACAATGCAGCCTAGGTGGAGTAGTTGAACGCAGATTCACTAAGCTCTCAACACAGACAGCATCGTCAGAAGAAAAGTTAACAGAATAGATATATAAAATGTTGTATCGTTCAATACATATGCGTACCGAACCGAAAGCACTGTATCGAACGGTTCAATGTCGATACATGTATTGTTGCATATATATATATATTAGGGGTGGAGGGAGATTAACCAACTGTCATAGCTGCAGAAAGGTGTGACAAAGAAGGTACCCAAGAAGTATAGCAAGCTGTCCATACCCGAGGCCTTAGAAACTACCAAGCAACGACTCAGTGCTTTGGCCAGTCTCTTGAAGAGATACACCAGAGAGATAGAAGGCAGGAGAACAAACCGGCTCTTCTCCACAGAACCGACCAAGATGTACTCTCAGTGGCAGGGGAACAGACTGAAGACGGAGAAATACTGGAAGAGCATATGGGAGAAGGACGCAACCCATAACGGCAATGCTCAGTGGCTAGTGGATCTGAGGGCAGACCACAGCGACCTCCCTGAACAGGGTCCAGTAACCATCACAGTGGCAGATATCCGAGAAAGGGTCTCCAGTATGGAGAGTTGGACAGCACCAGGCCCTAACATGGTTCTACTGGCTGAAGAAGCTGACTGTACTCCATGAGCATTTGGCAGCATGAATGAACCAGCTGCTAGTTGATGAGAGACACCCAGAATGGCTAACCGAAGGCCGAACAGTCCTGATCCTCAAGGACCCCCACAATGGTCCGGCCCCAACCAACTACCCACCAATAACCTGCCCCAGTACCACATAAAGCTCCTGTCAAGCATCATAGTGGCTTAGAACAGGGATATGGTTCTATACATGAGTGGGGCACAGAAAGGGATTGAAAAGAATACCAGAGGTTAAAAACAACAGCTGCTGGTAGACTGAGCAATCAGCTGAGACTGCAAGACCAGGCTGATCACCCTGTGCGCTGGCTGGATTGAATACAAGAAAGCCTATAACTCAATCATCATCATTATTTATTTATATAGCATTTTAAAAACACACCTAGTAGACCAAAGTGCTGAACAATACAACTATAATAATAATATAAGAACTGAACAAAACAATAAAATTAATAGAAATTAATAAAAATGTCAGTCACCCACAGAGTTAAAAGCCAGAGAATAACAATAGGTTTTTAATCTGGACTGGGTGGGAGTGGGAACCAATGTTCCCTCTAAGCTGCGTGCATGCGCAATTGCGGACTGCTGGCATGGTCTCTGCGCAGAGAAAATCTGCGTTGTGCACAAAAAAAAATCTAACCTGAATTGAAATTAAAATTAAAACTTTAACAATTCTGTTTTGCAGTGTTAGTCAGTGAGTGACTGGCTGCTCCCATATGGGATTAGAACGATGCCACCTTATCCCATAGTCCAGCCAATAATGCGATTCACATTCGTATATACGCGGATAATCAATGTCGTTGACAGGCTATGACAGCGTCCTTATGTGCCGGCACCGGTGTTTTAGCTAGCAAAGCGGCGTGGCTGATGTGGAGTGAAGCCATGTCAATGACAACGTGTACAACCATCGGAAATGTGAGCAGGACAGACGGAACAATTGACGAAAAAAGTGTGAGTGATGTGGTCGAATTTCCTCCTACCAGTTAAAAATCGAGACTCAGCATTTTGCACTAACTGTAAGTGTGACAAAGTGCCCAGCCCCTGCCCCTATTAGACTCAATGCCCCATACCTGTATTCTGGAATGCCTAGACCTGTATAAGATCAACAGGACCCTAAGAGCCTTCATCTGGCGTACAACAGTGGAGGCTAACTTCAAGCCCATAGCACAAGTCACCGTCAAGTGCGGGATCTACGCATGCGTATGCTTTGTTCTGCATAGGCCTGAATCCCCTCAGTGAGATCATTGACAAGACTGGCTATGGAATACCGTCTACGGAATGGAGCAGTTGTCAGCCACCTCCTGTACATGGATGACATCAAGCTGTATTCCAAGGGTGAACGAGACATTGATTCACTGATTCACGTGACTAGGATATACAGCAATGACATCGGAATGTCATTCGGACTGGAGAAATGTAGTCGGATGATAACAAAGAGAGTGAAGGTATTTAGAACTGAAGGGATCGAACTACCAGAAGGCAACCTTGCAGACATATAGGACAGCTACAAATCTGGGGATCCCACCGGCAAATGGGAACCATGAAGAGGCCGCCAGCAAAGCTGCAACCACCAAGTTCCACCAACGGTAAGAAAAAGATCCGGGCTATTAACATCTACGCCCTGCCTGTGATCAGGTACCCTGCTGGGATGACAAGCTGGCCAAAGGAGGAGATAGAAGCCACTGACATCAAGACAAGCTCCTGACCATGCATCACGAAGATGGCCCCAACCGACAGCGTGCTCAGTGAATACCTCAGGCAGCAGAAACCCAAGAAATGGTAAATGGTAAATGGCATGTATTTGTATAGCACTTTATTTAGTCCTTGTGGACCCCAAAGCGCTTTACACTACATTCAGTCATCCACCCATTCACACACACTGGTGATGGCAAGCTACATTGTAGCCACAGC